ACACATGTTCAGGAGTGCAGCAGGGCTCAGTTCTCCATCCTTGTATATTTCCAATAAACAACGTAAACGAGCTAAAGATATTCTAAATTTCTTAACACTAACACATGATAAATAACGTTCAGTATAAATGTGAGTTTTAAAAAATGAGTAATAACTACATTTTGTAGATATTGAAATTCACAACAGGGCAGCTTCACATAGCATGCACATAATTCCTATGCGATGTGAAGCGGCCCTAAAATCAGAATTGTTTATCGCTCTTTGGCCATTTTGGTTTCAATAAACTTACCCCATCAAACTGCCATATCATACTAACCATAGCACGGGGTACTGAGAGTTATAAAAGCGCTCAAAGTTCGAGTGGATGCTTCAGTAATACTCATGAATCTGTGCTGTATTTGATGCTGTGATTTGATAGCTTGATCACAAGCTACAACTTCCACGACTTCTCTTGCATAGATAACGGCATGTGTGCACATTTGGCCACAACCATTCGTGTATCAACTACAGGTATGATTTATGCCATTTGATTTTGGTGTACAGAAACCCACCATTGCTGAGATTACACATTTTCTATAAACCTAATAAATCTCTGATAAAAACATATTTCAAAGTACGATTTTTGCCATATCAGAAGCTTCTGTTAGTCATAATACCCCGCCTGCAAGGAAGATGGTACCCGCCTAAAAGAAAGAGGGTACCCGCCTGCAAGAAAGAGGGTACCCGCCTACAAAAGGATATCTGTCCGCCTGCAAGAGGGTACCCGCCTACAAGTAAGAGGGTAAGCCAACAACAAGGATGCCGCCCTACCCGCCTACAAGAAAGAGGGTACCTGCCTACAAGAAAGAGGATACCCGCCTGCAAGAAAGAGGGTAACCGCCTGCAAGAAGACTATCCTCTGTCGATGGATGTTTCGAAGGATTGCGGTGCTTTGTTACATGTAATCCTTAGTACTTAAATTGGTTTAAGGCAGTATGTGATTGTTGGAAATATCCTGAAAAATACACATGGTACGTAATTTTGACTTAACGAAGCATATAGCGATCAGAATTATGTTGTGTAATTTGAAGATTTTAATAAAGATAGAGCCACGAACTTAACGCCTCCCATGTTTTCCATTCAGTGTTTTCTCGGAGAGCTTGCTTTGGAAATTTTACGTGCGCTTTCCGAAATTATGTATATTTTGCAATATTTTTCCACTGTGCCGCCAGAAGTAATCTTCATGAATCACATTTTTAGTTAAAATATGGAACAATCATTAACTTCCATTTACATGTTGAAGGGGAAAATACTAGTTCGCGAGAGGTTTTGTCCATTGTCGTAAAGATGTCAACAGTGAGAAATTCCAAACAATGTTTTGAGAACAAGACATACAATCTCCCAGGATGGATGGATGGATTGGGAGACACGGTTCCATGGTCTACAGTCACACAGGCACACACAACACTACATGACACTCACCTCGATGTCATTCAGTGTTTCAGACACACGCTGTAGTATGTGACATGGTCGTACAATCATATGCTGATGAATTGCATGTGCATGGTGATAACTTACTGTAAAGTTTACCGTTTTTAGAGGCGTGAAACTATACATCTATATGTACATCTGTGCTATTCTAGAAGTTATTACTGTATTTTTTTGACAGATTATATAATTTAACTTTATGTGAAATGAATGTATAACATGTTTTAGTCAGGATATAGCTGAAATACTACCGATGTGGCTTAAAATCGTATCTATCTCATTCACTAATGCTCTTGGATTGCAATTGCTTGCTGGGGGCAGTAAGAAGCAAACGTTGATCTGATGCTTGAGTTGATAGTTACCAACTTGGGCGTACCCAGGAAAGAAATGAAGTGTAGGCACACCTGGACGTACGAGTCTGTAGATCTGTAGACTAGTACTGGTTATAACGGCTGAAGCCAACTGTTGCATGTAATGTCGTGAATACATACTGAACGCTAGAATGCTAGCTCCTGATTACTTTATCTAACATAATTTGAACAAGTGACAATCTTGCCATTTCGATGAAAGGAAATGTTTCTTTTCCTGATCAGCCAAACCATTTTCATAATTGACCGGATCTAAATATGGTGGTGCATGGGACTCTGGAACGGATACTTTCTTCTCCTCTGGCTGGGGAGCAAGCTCATTAGTATCATCTTTCACGGATGAAATCTTGAAATACTTGTCAGTTGTTTTTGGCGTGCTAGACACCATGTTGGCATCAAAGTAGCAGAGTTATCCACCTTTCATAGAAACGGAGACTGCTCTCGAAAAATAACATATCCATAACATACCACAAGTACAAAAATGCCGAAATAATTAGGTGTAGGCACGTGCCTACAGTGCCTAATGGCAGGTACGCTACTGATTTGGTGTACACAATAGCCGATTGCAACTGACGCATGCATACACATTTTGCCAACAGCTCACTAAATATTGAATTCTCTCACAACAAACTCATTTTCGTTCAGCACATAAATAGCCTGAGTAGAGGCATGAGGTATTTGAGGGTGAGAGTGAGTGAGTGAGAGAGAGAGAGAGAGAGAGAGAGAGAGTGAGAGAGTGAGAGAGAGAGAGAGAGAGAGAGAGAGAGAGAGAGAGAGAGAGAGAGAGAGAGAGAGAGAGAGAGAGAGAGAGAGAGAGAGAGAGAGAGAGAGAGAGAGAGTGAGAGAGTGTGTGTGTGTGTGTTTGTGTGTGTTTGTGTGTGTTTGTGTTTGTTCGGGGTGAATGTAAAGAATATGTGTAGTGGCAGCCTGTGATTACATTGTTGGCTCGCCACAAGGGTGTTAGCGGAGACGTGAGAATGAATCAATGTCATGCCAGTTTTAATCTCCATTTAATGGATGGATGGATGGATGGATGGATGGATTGGGAGACCAGGTTCCATGGTCAGGATATGTCCTGCAGTCACACAGGCACACACACAACTTCATGACACTTACTTTCATGTCGTTCAGTGTTTCAGACACACGCTGTAGTATGTGACATGGTCGTACAATTATATGCTGATGAATTTCATGTGCTTAGTGATACATTACTCTAAAGTACTCTAAACTTTGAAAGAGGCGTCTAGAAACAACAACATGCCATACATGAGTACACCACGTGTTTTATGGATAACAACTTCTTCATATTCTTTACACGACGTTTTAGAGCTAATTCTTGATCCTTCATCATTTTCCAAAAACGTCGCATAAAGAACAAATAGAAGTTTTTCAGACACGTGTCATGTATTCATGTTCGTCCAACTTCAAAATACCTTTCAAGAACACCATGACATACATAATCACATGTTTATTTCTCATATAATTTACTAACACTTGATTAACTTCCTTGACGTGTCATTAACTTCCTTGAGGTCCCGGGTTGTGTCTTCAGTAACCAATGCTTGTCGTTGGAGTTGTCTGGTCCAGACTCGATTATTTACAGACCGGCGCCATATAGCTGGAATATTGTATATAGTGCGGCGTAAAACTAAACTCACTCACTCACTCACTCTTTAAGCAAGGAGTGAAACTGATTAACTACGGAAGCTACCAAAACTTGGTGTCCTCCCATTACGCAGACAGCCAGTTCGCAGACACCTTAAAACAACAACATTTACTGTTCAGTGAACAGATTATCTACTACCTGTTACCTACACATCATAATGGAATAGTCCAAATAAAAACACGGGAACAAACTGAAGCTATATTATTTATTTTGAAAGATGGACGAAAAGACAGTAATTTGAATTTGTATTGCTGCAATATATAAACAGTATATTTCCAGAAACATTTCGGTTTAACCTTTTAGTCTAACGGGAGTCGGCATCATCATATTGAAAATAGTAGCTTAGCTAATAGAAATTGCGACACTGTTGTATCATATAAATCAAATAAAGACAAATGTGACCTAAATATTATTCATATGGAATAAAGATGTTATATGTTTTGCACACAATATTAAGATATATGACGAGTGCACTTAATTACGACTTATTTAGAATAAATATTCAAATATGACGCATCATGTGAATGTGGCCATGGGTGTGAGAATGTTTTTCATTACTTCCTTGAATGTCCGTTGTATACTACTCAAAGACATAAACTGTTACTATCTTTAGAAAGTATTGTTAAAATTAGAACACTGATTTGTATTAATCGCATCTTACATGGCAATGCAGGTGTATCATTTACTGCAAATCAGAATGTTTTCAAATATGTACATATCTATATCTCTCCAACAAAACGTTTTCTCAGTTAACTTCTGTTGTACATATGCTATTATTGGGGTCTTTTCTATCAATAAACACAATCAAACCTCTCAGTGACAAACCTGTTTTATATTCGATAGTAATTGATAGTAAAATCAATTTTGAGAAGAGAAACCATTTAATCACAACAAAGTTCTATTTACCCACAATCAAACTTCTCAGTAACGAACCTGTTTCAGGCTCACCCTGCTCTACTCACTACACAGTGGACTGTTCCATCATACCCGTAGGTGTTACCCTAATTAACCTTCTAGTTCAGTGTCTGTCAAATGGGTGTCTGTCAATTGGGTAGGAAGGTAGGTAGGTTTATTTAATTCCTCCAGATTTAGAGATACAAAATTAATTGAATATTAAAAGCTTAATTTGTTAGCTACAAGTGTTGAAATGTTATGATATATATATTAGAGTCTTTAGAAAGTGAAACTGGACCAGTCGATCCCAGATGCAAAGTGTGACAGTAGATAGTAGAAGATTTCATCAATACATCCCTCAACATACAGGGATATGGTTAAGATTTACTTAATTTTTGAAAGTCCACGAATTTAATTTCATCCCGTGCATCAAGACGAACAATGAACCTCTTCTTCCCATCACCTGCCTGAATGACGTAGGCAGATCCGTCCATGCCGAGGCACGTTACTCGCGCATCTGTCCAAGTATCTGGGGAATAATTGTCAAAGTGAGTGATGCACGTTTGGATTTGTCGTCTTATTACTTGTTCAACTTCTGTATTTTCCCATCCTTCGTGTCCTACAACCTTTACTATCAGCTTTCCAAGAGAACGTTTGTTGATTTGTTCCACCGTGACCTGAAATGGAATGATTACACATCAATCACGTCCCAGCCTTCTACACCTATGTTCAAAATATTATCACCCTCAAGATATAGCCGTCTTGGTATACAGGGGTGACTATGATGATGAAGTTGGCAGATGACAATTCCACAGTATAACTAAGAAGTGTATATCCATACATGTGTATTAAGTTATTCCGCAAGTCTGTAAGACAGTGTTATTTAGTTTATTGGGACAATATATAAACCTTAATACAGCCAAATTTGATTTAAGAAAATTTACTCTACACCATATTATTCCAGGCGTAATATATTAACAGTTCACATTCCTCGTGAAAAACGAGCAACCACTCACTGCACATGGGCTTTTTACATTTGCCAAGAATACTTACATAAACCTTAGCAGAACCTGAAGTAAATCCCTTTGTTTCGCTTATCTGTATGAAAAGACTAAACATGAGTGTCTTTCAAATTACAAACAACAACATTTCAATGGTAACATGAACATACAAATGTTTCCAGAAGTTCAGATTCAGGCATTTACAAACACTGTCACATGAGAACATATACTCCCAGCCCGCCAGCAAATCATTCATAAAATGTAGGTCACCATTGCATATTTTCAAATTGTATTCTTTCCACTGCGCTGGAAAGTTATTTACATCAGGCACCCAAGCCAATGTTATGGAATCCTAGAAGGGACATTGTCGCTATGTCGCATTGTCGCGTTGTCAAAAACAAGTAAAGTGAGGATAAAAAATACACCAAAACGCGACACGCGACAACGCGACATTTCGCCCATTTGTCGCATTGTCGCGTTTTGAATAATATTTTTTCTATTCTTCCACGCGACATAGCGACAATTTCCAAGGTCAAATATGTCGCATTGTCGCGTGTCTCGTTCTCGCCCTTTTCGATTACCGGTGCGCATGCGTAGAAAGTCAATGCGCAGGAAATGTTATACTCTATTTCACACTTCAGTGGTGTTTTGTTACCTCCAATGGTTTTTACAATGAAGTAGTACGCGTAATGATAATGGGGGCTGCTTTTCTTGAACTTAATGGAAATCTTTCATTGTTGCTTTGAAAATTATTGTATATATTGTAAATGTATTTGGCCAATCAAGTGTGATTTAGCAGGAAGACAAATTATTCGCGCTACTATTCATTGTAATGACGGCGCACGGTGGCTCTGTCATTCAAGGCGGGGCAATTTGTTGCTGTGCAAAGTTGTGTCTCTTAGTCACACCAGATAACTATGATCGTAGGTTCTAATCCCAGCACCATACATATTCATCACTTGGACATTTCACCCATATCAAGCTCACAGGTTGTGAAAAAACTCAAATATTGTTAAAATTCAGGCCACATCGGGAGTAACATCAAGTGATGTCCACGAATGGGTCACTATGTTCCACAGTGTGGCTCCTCAGAGAGATTCTTGGTACAGTCCTGTCCGACGCTGATGGACTTGTTCAGCCAGCAGTGGATGGATACCAGGTAGAATGAGATGGTAATATCACTTGACCATCCAGCACCTCAAATACAGTTTTGGTCGACTTTGAAAACGCCATAAAAATGGAATGTTATGTTTATAATTTTAAAAGCGGTCAAATCGCTTAGCAGAGTTGTGTATCCTTGGAGTACCAGAAACCAACCCTCGCTCGCTCCCTCCCTCCCTCCACTCCACTCCCCGCTCCAACCACAGACTCACTCCACCCCACTCCGCTCCACTCATCTCCACACCCCTCTACTCTACTCTACACCACTTCGCTCCGCTCCACTCACTCACTCATTCCACTCTACTCCGCTCCATTCACTCTCACTCATTCCTCTTCACTCCGCTCCGCTCCACTTCATTCCTCTACTCTCCGCTCCGCTCACTGACTCACTTCTCTCACTCACTCATTCCGCTCCACTTCACTCCACCCGCTCACTCACTCCGCTCCCTGCTCCACTCACTCACTCCGCTCCACTCCGCTCCCTCACTCCACTCCCCGCTCCACTCACTCACTCATTCCACTCCACTCCATTCGCTCCATTCACTCCACTCCGCTCCACTCCGCTCCGCTCCACTCCACTCCACTCCACTCCGCTCCACCCCAAACATCGAAAAGTAATCATGCTTGTGATAGTTTATAAAATCCGCCGTAACTAATAAAACGCGACAAGCGACAATGCGACAACGCGACATTTTGATGAAATGTCGCGTTGTCGCGCGTCGCGTGTTGCGCTTTGTTAAAATATTGAGTACAGTATGTATTATAACGTATTTACTAAAACGCGACACGCGACAATGCGACAACGCGACATTTTGATGAAATGTCGCGTTGTCGCGCGTCGCGTGTTGCGCTTTGTTAAAATATTGAGTATAGTATGTATTATAACCACAGGGGTTCGAATCACTGTTTGGCCTGTCTTCGATAAACATCGACAGTTTCCGTGGATATTTTAATGACTCGGGAACAGAAAACGGCTCAGCCTGGTTCCCAGGGTCTGCTGCCCTAACGCTTCCACACTGAAAAAGCCATTTATTATCTATTTCTTTTCTTATGTATTATGAGGAAATAATTGATAAAGTTCAAACCATTGTTTTTTAACTGCTGGTGTGCTTGTAAAATTATCGGCTCTCAGTAACATAATACAGAAAAATATATTCCTTATCTTGAGTTACTTTGGTACAGATAATTTGTAATAAAATTAAACAGATCCATCCATGTACACACTTTTATTCGAAGAATGTTGTCTGAATCGGTTTGTAAAACAACATGAAAAGGTTTTACCAATATTATTCAGAAATGTTTATGATTAAAAACACACGCAATTATACTGCTGAATAAAATGAATTTGACCCACTATTTTACTAAAATGAATATATAAAAATACACAGTATGATCAGTATGCTAATACTCTACCATAAAAATACATACAGTGCCTTAAAAGTACATATATTTGAAGATTAACATTTAATACAGATGTACATTCCGCTATTTGATTGTTTTACCACTGAAACTTGTCCTGAGTACTGTAGTTTTTATGGCTTGAAGCCAGTATCAGTGTATACATTTGGTATACATGTATACTCTCCCAAAAAAGAAACGCATATAGGAATTTCCACTGTATTTTTATGTTTATTTTGAAATATCTTGTAGGCTTTATGAGTGAATGAAATATAGCGAAATTGCACACTGGGACTGCAGACGTATCCGTCTTTGACACCAACCCGAGGAAAGTCAGTTTGTGTGTCACATGGAGACGTGTGGTGGCGCTGAAGTCAATACCTCGTGTGACCACCATCGGCATCCAGAACTGCACGGCATCGCCTCGGCATCGAACGAATAAGTCTCAGAATCTCGTGTTGCCCAATCGCAGCCCACTCTGCCTGCAGTGCCTGTGCGAGTTGCTGAAGTGCCTGGGGCTGAGGGTGGCGTCGCGACCGTCTGTCCTGGGCACCCCACAGATGTTCGATCGGGTTTAAGTCCGGTGATCTTGTAGGCCGAATCTGTCCACCTGGGGAACGCAAGCGTGGGCGAAACGTTCACGTCGACGTCTGTACACCCGCATTCTTCCATCGCGTCGTTCCAATAGAAATCGTGATTCATCACTGAATCAGATTCTACGCCAATTCGGTAGGTTCCAGGCCTGAACGTTGGTGCACCATTGAACTCGATGTCGACGATGTTGTTGTCGAAGCACAGGGGCCAAAATTAGGTCTTCTGGCACGTAAATCAGCCTCTCTCAACCTGTTCCTGACAGTCTGTGCAGAAAGCCTCCTCAATCCGGGTATTTGTCGAGCGGTACTGGTCGCCGTAGCTGTTTGATGACGATGGTGATGTACTCGGATGTAGCGATCCTGCGCCGCAGTGGTCGCTCGTGGTCGCCCATTACTAGGGGCTATCGCATTCTGCCGGCGATATCTCTCCCAGAGCCGTGAAATGGTGCTTTGGTGAACATTCATGCGTCGGGCAACTGCACGTTGAGACGCCAGTTTCAAGCAACCAATGGCGATATGACGGTTGGCTTCACTAAAACGTGGCATTTTGCGTTCGTCAACAATATTCCAAATACAGTGAATAATCGACATAACGAATCGAATAAACGATCAACCTTTTATACCCATCATTGAGACTATCTGATCCCCAACTTCCATGTGCATTGCATGTGAATTGTATATTCTGTGACACTACACGCCGAAATCATGCTGTTAAATACGAGTATTTTACGGATGGTGCGTTTTGTTGTGATGTTTCAAAACATAAACACCATAGGACTCATAAACAGAGCAAAAACCTTTTGTCAAATGCATCACGTTTTCATTCATTGCTACATGAAATTGCTATTTTCACGATGCGTTTCTTTTTTTTGAGAGTATATATTGATTATTTTGAGCATGATAACCCTGGTGATATTAGAATCAGCAATTATTCAGCAGTTAACAAGTTTGATTAAATGCTACAATGGAGTCCTTTTGCGTTACTTTATTATACTTTAGGGCTCTGCATACAAACATATTTCAACACATAATCAGTGATTTTACATTGAATTTTGGAGAAAGACAGTGCTCTGAATTTGTTAGCCAGTTCACTATTGATATTTGTTTTAAATTGAAATTGTATGGTTTGCATCTAGAAACTTGGGTATTGTGTTAACACCTATCCTAATTTGGACTAAAGCACTAACTACTCTTGGTGTAGAGATTAAAAAGGCTATTATGACATTGTACAGATATTAAAAGAAAGTTGGAAATATACCATGTCCAGATTTATTTAAGATATTTAGGGCTCCTTGCCTCTAGGCAGGAGACCTATTGTAATCGTTAATGTTTTTATTATTATTATTATATATTATTCCGCCGTATTTTGTACCAGCCCTACAAAGAGCACCAGTGGACAGAATCGCTTGAGAAAGGTCACCTAGATGCCCATCGAGGTGTAGATATTCCCCATTAAAATCTCAATGCTCTAGGCCCAATAGCAAAGGGCAGATAATTCAAAATAATTTAAAAAATTCAATTTCAAAAGCAGGTATGTGCAAAACTACTGATCTAATAATTGCCAAAATTCTTGAGCAGATGCGCAATCAAAATGCCTACAACTTTGCTTGGACGGGTCAAGTCGCTAAAATGTACCGTTTGGCAGTTATATTTGTTTAACTGATGTCCAGTACGATTGTGCAAATTCTGCACAAAAAGTGCCAGGGTGCCGTTCCACTAACCGATCTTACCTAAGATATATCAATCTTGGCAAGTTACGCCAATTTTACAATCGTCTTAGCTAAACTAGATCGAGACTCTTTCGTGCGAGAGATAGAGGAATGCGAGGCACGAGTTATCTCCCTTTGCATAGTCTAACAAATGATGGAAGTAGTTTACGAACCATCTGAGTGAGTGAGTGAGTTTAGATTTACGCCGCACTCAGCAATAGTCCAGCTATATGGCGGCGGTCCGTAAATAATCGAGTCTGGACCCGATCCCGTTAGTAGCCTCTTACGACAAGCATGGGTTATTGAAGTTCAATATTCTAACCCGGGCCTTAATGGGTATTTTTCCAACCAAGTGTAAACGTGGAGAAAAAACCTAGAGCAAAATATTAGGGTAGTGAGCACCTTGGTTTCAGGTGCAAGTGCGTGTGAACGCTGGGTATCAGGCATAATATAAGAATAATAAATGCATATTTATA